TTTCTCAAGAAAGTGATTTTTTTTTAAAGGTCCCATAAAATTTGCAAAATTATCTGATGATAAAGTGCTACAAGATTTTCTGTTATGTGTACTGCCCTTAAGGGAGCCTTCAAACTTTATTCATGAGATTTTCCTTAACTCTAAGTTTTCTTTATGATTATTATTTCAATTAAGTGTATCCTGCAAAGCAATCTCAATTAAAATACTCTTTTGGACACCCATGTGAGACATTTAAGCAATTTGGGATCCAGTATTTCGTAAATTCATAAAATTCCATTAGCATAATCTGATTTGTAATACTAGCATGTATTTCAGTGTTTTTACTGACAAGAGCATTAGAGGCAAAGGACAAAGGATAAGAGTTCTGTTTTTTCAACTTCCTGATCTATTTGAACATGATACATTGACTAGCTTATTGATTTAGGAATGATCAGTGATATTACTTCCCCTAAAGGAATATTAAGATGATTTATAAAGTATTTAAAACATGATTTTAACTTCCTGTATAAATGTGTGTAAATTTACAAGTTTGTCTCCAATTTTCTACCTTGGAAATATTCTCTGCACTCAGGGAAGCTCAGAATTTTGGATCCCCTCGAATTTGATGACTTCCTTTGTACATGTACATTTAATATATCACTACAGAAACACTAAAGTGTCTTATTGAGGATTTGGGCCTGGGTTAGAATAGCACACATGCCTTTTACTAGGTATGGATGTTAAAGTTTATTTAAACTGTCTTTGTCTACACTTTCCTGTCAAGTTACTTACATACAAAACACTGCAAAAAGTACCTGGAAAATAGCAAGAACTCAATAAATGATAGCAGATAGTACTGCCATTTCTCAATTCGGATTATTGTTTTTATGCACTCAATAACTCTCCTAGAGAATGAAAAAACTATGTGCCCAGTAAATATTCACATCCATGCCTTTGTCTTCATGTTAAAATTTATTTTAAAAATTCTTGGCATTAACTTAATGTGTGTGTGTTTTCATCCCATTTCACATAGTACATATAACTTATTTATATTATTTACATTAAAAACCTTATTTTAAAGGAAAATTCATACAATTATTCCAAAATAAAGCATTTACTAATATATATATTGTTGTTGTTGTTAAGTGCCATCGAGTCGGTTCC